AACTGCCAGGGTTCTTGAGCTTCCTAAAGTCTGTGGGCTTTTAGCATTTTGTCAGGTGTTCCATGCCTGTCTTTGATCTTTAGTTGTTCATCTTCTAAAGAGCAGGAAATAATGAACCCATTTTATTAAAACACTTGCATCGTATTTGGGAGGGATAAAGAAGAGCTTTCCTGCTTGGATTTTCTGACTTGGCTGTTACAAGACTCAGTGTTAAACACAGGAGCAGGTGTATCCTGAGAGTAATTGTGGAGAAACCTGTGTGGTGCTTGGGATCTCAGTGGATTCACCCCTGCTACTGTGCCCTATAGCCAAAGACAAGGTGTAGCTCACCACAAAGGATGCCTGACAGACTCTGGAAGATGTGTCTTCATGGAGAAGGAGAAATTAGATTAGGGGTGCAAACCCTAACATTTTCTGCATGACTTGGCTCCACATTCCCTATATATTTTTGGAAGGGAGTGGGAAGGAGAGGGCAATAAGGGTATATACAAGATTTACTCCCATGTGAATATTGTGCTGCTTCCAAACACCAACCTGAAGGAAAGCCTTTCAGCTGTCCCTGCATGGCAGGAGTCACTGCGGCCGAAGTACTTTACCTTTTTTCTTCTTCTATGGCCTTATGGGCTTGAGGTGCACATGGTTGAAGTCTGCAGCAAGATCTGAAAGTTCTTAGAGTGCCTAATGCTTGGGCACCTCAAACAGCTTTTCTTAGCAGAACTTAACTAAATGAATTAATCCTGGACACCTGAGTGGTGTAGAGCACCACAGGTTACCAGGTCATTTTAAGTCACACAAGTTAATGAAAGGACTCCCACAGACTTCAGTGGGCAACACATCGAATCATCCAGCATGGCAGAACCAAAGGCTTGGCCACATGCTCCCTGTCCTGGGTTTTCAGACATCTTTATTGTGCTGTCCCCACTGAGCAATTAAAAATGCTTTCTCACTGGCTGGAGGAACTGCATAAAAATTGGGGCTGAAAGGAAAGCCACAATGTAAATCATGGTGCAAATGCACTGAAGGGGAAAGCAATTCTATGTTTATATTCTGGGCAGTCAGAGCCAGGTGGAAGCAGCATTATTATGGAGAAGTTCCAGCAATAAGAAAATCTTGTTGGCTAATTGAGCTCAAGTGGATGTACATGGGTCTGCTCCGAGAGGGGTCAAAGTAGAAATGCTATTTTCTTTCTAGGATCCATACTGAAGTTAGAAACTATTTGGAATTACACTGATTCTAGAGGAAAATAGGCTATTTGGTTCTGATTTTTTTTTTTTTTTTTTTTTTTTTTTTTTTTTTTTTTTTGTCAGGGCAAGGATTTATTTGTCTTGTAGGGCCATTTGCAGGGAAAGAGGTAGGTCCTGTTCTGGATTCACACAGATTATTATCAGTGAAATGTAGCTTTGTAGCAACAGGGCTAGTTAGACATCTTGATGGAAATACACTGCTATGGGGTTTGGGTAATGGTTTTAATCAGGATTTTGAGAGTTTTCATATTTCTTCATATAGATAAGAAACATATACAAGAAGTCAGACTTTAGTATGTAGTTCCAGACTGCATTTAGGGAAAAGTCATGGGAAGAACAAAAGCCCAGCATACATCTCTCAGTAAATCACCCTGGGGCGAGACCCTCACAAGAGGTGGTTTTTTTCAGAGCAAAATTCCTTTTGAGATATAAAACCTGAAGCTTGTTACAGATTGGCACAAGAGCATTTCACTTCCTTCCTGCAGGTGGACTCAGAATTATGATCAAGAGGATTTTTTTGTTTAAAATTGCCATTTCAAGAAATCCAAAGCTTTCCAAGCACACACAGCTTAGTGCTGATGCTCCAGGTTGAAACAGGACGCTGAGCTCCACAAGCAGTTCTTCTGTACTTCCATGACCTCACCTCCCACCGTGTGTCGCAGGCACTGCTTCGTTATTTCAGGATGATTGTGATGTGTGAAGGGAGGCTGTGGCTTGGGTGACAGAGGGTCTTCTGTCAGACCAAAGGGATATTCCAGACCAAATTATATCAGTATGTAAAATGAGGGTGAAAAAATGGGGAAACATTTGGAGTGATACCGTTTGTCTTCCCAAGAAACTGTTACACCTGATGGGGCCCTGCTCTCCTGGAGATGTCCAAACACCTGCCTGCCCATAGGAAGCAGTGAATTAATTCCTTGTTTTACCTTGCTTGTGTGAGCAGCTTTTGCTTTCCCTATTCAACTGCCTTTATCTCCACCCATGGGTTTCCAGCTTTTACCCTTCTGATTCTCTGCCTAGAGAGAATTGTTCCTGCTGGGGGAAAATGAGGGAGTGGCGGTGTGGGGCTTGGTTGCTGTCTGGGGTTAAACCACGACCTGGGTTAGTGGGAGCCCTGCAACAGCTTTTCAAGACAGACTTGAAAAAATTCCAAAATATTTTACAAGGTGAATAAGTAACTGCAGAGGAGTGGTGGGATTTTTTTATTTTTCAAAAACCTTCCAACTGACAGAATTCTTCATGTAATTAAGGACTGCATATTCACTACCGTTTATCTTCTTTTTTTTCCCCACTGCTGCCTATATGTTGATTTTGTTAAGGGCTTCTTTTTCTGGTTGAGGGAAAACTGAGGCTTTTTTCTGTCTTTTGTGTATACACATCTTTTACATTGTCTTGAAAAACTGTAGCTGTTGTGAGCATATTTAATGGCTCTTCCCAAAGACATCTGGCAGGTTAGAAAGCAGATCCAATACTCTTATGTTATTAACTGCTGCAGAAGGTAGCACAGGGGAAGTGACAGCAAAAAGGGAATTACTTTCCTAGTTACCAATGAGCAGGGGTGAAAGATGGGATTTATAGAAATCCATTGAAAATTTCAGACTCTTTCTACAACAGAATTTAAGCTCTGCTCCTAACCCTCCCAAGGAACAAAACTCTCGAGATAACTTTTCACATGATCATGATTAACTGTAGTCTTTGCCACATTACAGAAATGGCTTTTTTTTGGTTAATGCTGCATTTGCAAACTCCTGGGAAAAAGCTGTGATGCACACAGGGTGTCAAGGGCTGCATGAGCTAATATGAGTACCTGCTGTGACTTAGTCTTACTGCTCAGGTGTTTTTGTGGCTCCATGGGTAGCATCTGTCTGAGGGAGTGATTCCAGACTGCCATTGGGTTCCACTGCACCCTGGTTTTGAGAATAGTAATGAGAGCAACCAAGGTGGGTTTTTCTTCTTCCTTCTCATTTTTTTGAATGAGGCCTGCTGTGTTTTCGCAGATTGTATTGTCATTATTAAGTGTTTAGGAGCCTTAACTTTTAACATCAGACAACTTGGCACCCGCTTTGAAAAGAAACATGTTATTCTAAAGCAGAAAATGAGATTAGAAATTTGCTTTTGCAGATAGAAACCAAGTCCTGTCAGCTCATCTAATCCAGTTCCTTGGCAGTGATGCAGGCCAGCTTTCTGCACGGCATTCCTGCACGACTGCCTCTGCCAGACGTTCCCGTCTGGGCTGCTGCGCTCCCAGTGCGGCTCACGGAGCGAGCGCGGGGCCTGCGATGGATCTGTGAACAGGCTGGCACGCTGGGCTGTGTCACACCCCGCTCTGACAGGGAAAAGCATCCTACACGAGTTCACTTGGGAAAGGTCATCCTCTAGTTCAGTGTCCCTTTTACAAAACAGCCTGAGAGAGAAGTGAAGGGCTTTTTTTGGTTTGTTTTTATAAAGTGTGTTCAGCTTGCTAATACAGCAGGCATGCAGAACATAAGCTACCCAACCAACTATGAAACAAATGCTAGAATTAATTGCTTAGATCTCTTTGCATTAGGGTAAAGCACAGGTTTTAAGATGTCTTCAGTGAAGAATTGCTGAATATGAGAAACATCTACTACTGTTTTGTAGTAAATTGAAAAGCAAGTTCAAGTGTAAAGATTGGTTGGGTCATAGCCAAAGGCAAGCAGCAGTCCTGCCTCTTGTTTTGTGAGACAATCTGTTTTTAAGCTTTGTGGGTACAAGTTTGACCCAGCACATTAAATAAGCACATTTAATAATGACTATTTCTGTAAACCCAGGGTTTGTTTAAACCAGATTCTTTGTACTACAGAAAAGAATCCAGAGATACTTCTTACCCTGCAGCTGATACATGAGTGCCAAAAGTTTAATTGCACCTAAGAGCAACAGACTGCATCCTAAGGAATTATCACCCTTTTCCAGCCCATTCTCTACTGGGCTGTTGTAATGATGAACTGATTGCTGCATTTGAATGGATTCCCAAACCAGCACAGGTGTAGGAATGGCCCCCCTCCACTTTCAGGTAAGATGGGTGTAACTGCCTGTGGACACACCATGCACCTTCGTGCATGGCAGAAAACAGAGTGAATATATGATCCAATTTACAAGCTGATTGTGCTACAGAAAGGTGAGACCCTGGGGCATGGTCGGTGCCTGTCTGGATGTAGGTGACCTTCCCCAGCCCTGCAGCTGCCCTCTCTCCATTACAGCCCCTCTCTGTCGGGCCGGGCAGCACCGCAGCACACGCGCAGCGCAACGTGAAGTCACTGACACGATGAGCGGCGGAAAGCGGAAAGCATTTGTACCAGCCACAGAGGGGTGCAGGTGCTTGGCAGCAGCAGCACTTTGATCCTGTTCACACCAGCACGCCTCAATTCTCACATCTAGCACTCTCCGTGGAGACACTCAGACATGTTTTGCTTAAATGAAGGCACTGCACCATCTGAATCACTGTTTTTGTGATACACCAGCCCCAGTGTTTGGTAAGGATTGGGGTAGAGAACACAGGTTGACTTTAACTGCGGTGGGAAGTGTTCTCTGTGGGCTCCAGCAGCTTTCTGGAGCAACGCCTCACAAACTTACCCACTTCCATGTCACTGGAACCACAGTTCAGTCCTGTGTTTCTAACCCAGCCTGACTAGTATAGGACACTGAGCAGGGTACTCAGGAGTACCTCTAACCTTAAGGTAAGCAGCAAGATCCAAGCATACACTTTACTTTATCCAGAAACTGTAGAAAGGTTAGAAGGGAAAAACCTCCTTTATTTCAACATTTTAATGAAATATAATAGTTTTTCTACATGGACAAACATTTGGTTTTACTAGCAGAAGCATCTAGAAGCTCACAACTCCAAGCATCCAAACTTTTAATCTCTAGATCTTGTTTAAGTGGACTTCATCATTCCTTTGTTTCCTTGAAAGAGGTTAGTGGCTTGGGGCAGTGTTTTATCCAGAAGATAAGCATCTCTTGATGGTTGCACTACAGTTGGCTTTCATCCTTTACTGCCTGAAGTCCAGTTTCAAGTTTAAATTAGAGATATGTTCCACATGGCTTGCAGCACAGTGCTTTTTCCATCTCATTTCTCCAGGGGTGCATAATTCAAAAGCTTCTCAATCAGATCCACATGGGCGAGGAGCATTCTGCGGCAGCAGTATCTCTTCAAGCCAAGGGCATCCAGGGCATCTCTATTAACGAACAACAATTAAAAAACGTAACAGATGAAGTGAGTCAGAACCACTTGTAAGCGTTTCCTAAGCAACACACTGATTACTTTGAGCTCAGTCATAGAGGAAAATTTGTTTGCAGTTTAAAGACAGACAGAAATTCAGCATGTGCCGTTAATGCCCTTTTCCACTTAAGTGTTGTTGGGTGTGTTTGCCCATTCTCCAGCCAGCCAGAGCACAGGATCTGCTGCTGAGAAGGGTCCCTAGCTGCCACCACTTTCAGAGGGCACTGTTTTAACATGTTTCTGTAAACTGAGGATGATTCTTGTCTATTTCACAAGATAACTTTAAGATCTGAGCCACGCTAAAAAGGTGATATATACAGAAACTAAAATAACTCGGAATGCAACCTCCCCCACACAGGGATGCTAATTCTGAGGACGGCTACAATCCTTCCCATCTCCCATGGGAGAAGGCACTCAGTTATACAACCTGCCCCCCACATACATACAAATAAGTAGGTGCAGACTGGTCAGAAATCAGTGTTTTACAGTCTCTCCACTGAATTCCTTTGGAGTGACTGCTCCAGATTCTTATGTTTGGGTAGAGGATGTTGAGTCATCCTAGCCTGAACCACTGCGGGTGTTTTCCATGGCTGTGGCTATCAGACCTCTTAAAGGTCACGATACTACCATGATCTTTAGCTGCAACCTATGAACCATAAATCCAGTCTGATACTCCTTCAGAATGTGACATTTGTGAGACATGACTGATCTCAGGTTTATATGATGATACTGATATAATGCAGTGCAATAAAGCATTTGCTTCAAACAAACTTAATTTCCTGGAACTTGTAATTCTCCTGTACGAATAGGCCAATGGATGCTTTTCTAAAATACAAATGACTGAAAGGAAGCCTCTGCCGAAGCTGGACCATGGTAAAACGTTGTTTGGCTTCAAGCAGTACAGGCTAACTGCAGGAGCCAACTTCCAGCAGCTTCTCTGATGTCACTCAGTCCTTGCAACTGTTGATAGTGCAGCAGGGCTGCTCACTCTAGGACAGCATCTGCAAAACTTGTTTTAGAGGAGTATAAGAACATTGTGGGGCATTTTAAAGAATGTTTATAAATAACATCATATGATGCCTCAGTTTTCCAAAACACTTGAGAACAAAAGCATCTGATGTCTGTTGATAGGTAAATTTTAAAAGCTCTCTGGAGAGTTCTGAACTCTCATATGCAGTTATCAGAGATGTAAAATACTAACATTAATCACAATTTCCAAAGGCATAAGACAACTTTAGTTGCATTTGCCTTTTCCTCCAGGTTTCAAGGACTTGTGGAAAAAGAGCACTTTTAAGGGACAAACAGAAAGGCGTGGATGTCTTTTTCAACTACCGATTCTTTAGACAAGTTTTCCCATTTTGTCCGTCAATTTCTTAAGCCACCATTACCAGTGATTCCAGTACTGCACTGTAAGATTTTAGCTGTTTGATCTCTGTAAACTCTACTTCTTACAACACCATAATTGCATTAGTTTGAACAAGCATCCCAGAATCAAGCCAGTGACCACAACAATTGTTTTCAAGTGAGCATTTGTCAATTACAACACAGAACTCCTATACAAAAGCAGAGGAATAATAAAGATAGGGGAAATATTAAAATGTAATGCCTAGAATATATGCCAGAAGCTCTATCAAAAAAGTCCTGGTAAACTGTAGTAGGAGTGAAAAATACTTAACAACCCATGGTATTGTAATGCTTTTAACTCCATATATGAAATAAACTTACCTGTAAAAACTATTGGGATCCCCAACCACTTGAATGCAAACCAAATTATTTGCTTTCTACTTAACATCTACTTTCTCCTTCAACATCATGTAAATTTCTCTTTCACTCCTCTGAGCTGAAAACATCCATGGGTATTTTTTTCTGCTTCATACTTGATGAAAATGTAAGTATTTACCAAGTTTTCTTCTCAAAGCTCCTGAGGAAGTGTCAGGATAGTTAAAACTCTCCTTGAACTATTAGCAGAAACTCTGGCTCTGCAAAGGATGCACAGACTTCTTACCACAGATTTGTTAGGACTATCAGTAGGGTATCTAAAGCGGTTAAATCTTCTCTCTCCAGCAAATCAGTACTTAAAAATTAGGTTAGCAACCATGGGTTAAAATGCTTAAAAAACCCAAAAAACCCCAACAACTAAAACCGCTAAACATTTCTTACACTTGTAATTTTTTTCCCTTCTCTCCCTTTAAAAAACTGATCACGTTGGTGTCAAAGTTGCGTATATCAAAGGGGAAGGGAAGAAACAGGCAAATGTGCACAGAGTTACATATTTGGGAACATTTTGGATACATGGGCCACTACTTAGCAACTTCCACACTGCTGCTCTGCAAGATACAGTGGGGAAATAAGCACTTGGTTGCCTACTGCAATTTCTAACCTTTGGTTATACGATCTCAGAACGTACCTGTAGTTTTTAGCCTTCCTACGTCTCTTTTATGACGCCGCGACCCTGCACTTGTGCCTGTGGCCCTACCTTGGCAGGGAGGTTGGACGAGATGATCTGCAGAGCTGCCTTCCAGCCCCAGCAGGTCTGGCTGGGATCTTATGCACTGTGTACCTCACACAGGCTGTGAATCGAGCAACACAGAAACAAAACTCACCCTTCCGTGTACTCCGCCTGCAGGAGGCCAAGGTAGGCTTCCCACTTGTTCCCCACTATCTTGCCGCACGTGAAGCACCTGACCGGGATGATCATTTCTGCGCCGTGGCTGCAACGACACCAACACCGCGTCAAACCCCGCCGAACCCCCACACCGCGCTCCGCCACCGCGCTCAGGCGGCGGAGCCCGGTCCCGAGGGATCCCTGGAAGCGAGCGGCCGGCGCCAGCCCCGACCCCGGTCCCGGTCCCGGTCCCGGTCCCGACCCCGACCCCGGTCCCGATTCCGATCCCGATCCCGGTCCCGGCCCCGGTCTCGCACCGCGCGCCTCCTCCGCTGCTGATGGCCGCCGGCCGCCACCACCGCGCCCGGCCGGGGGAAACCGCGCCACCGCCGGCCGGCCCGACACGGCGAGCGGGCGGGTTGAGCAGCTCTAATCCCCCCTTGTGCACTTGATGGTAGCGGCCCGCCGTACGGCGTCCCCGGCGGCCCAAGAGAGGGAGCGCGCGCGCGCGGGGGGGGCGGTCTCGCGGCGGCGCCGGGCGCGCGGCGCGGTGAGTGGCAGCCGGGGCGCCCCGAGCGCTGAGCGGCGGCACCGCGACCGCCCCCGCGCCGCCTCCTCCCGCCGCGCCCCGGCGGGCACTTGTTGCATTGCGAGAGGGCTTCGGCAGCGGGCGGACTTCGCATCCCGTCCTGGCTGAGGTACCGCAGCGGGAAGCGCAACTGGTGGCTGCGGCGCGGCAGCCGCCCGCCCGCTCCGGCGGAGGGGTGAAGGGTGAAGGGTGGGCATCCCGGCGGGCAGGGCTGAGGGGGAGCCGGGGCGCCCCGCGGCAGCCCCGCCGGTGCGGCGTGTCCTTCTCTCCCCCGGGGCAGGGGAACGGGGGGCGGTGGGACCCGCCGCTGTCGCCGTGTCGCGACCCTGTCAGCGCAGCATCGCGGCGTCGCTCGGGGCTGTTTGCCCGCGGTTCGGCGGCTCCCGCGGGCGGGAGGCGGCGGCACAGCCCGCTCCCGGCGCTGCGGGCTGCTGGCGGCTCCGCGCAGCCCGGACAGGCGGTGTCTCCCTGACCGCACTCGCCCCCGAGCCCCGGCCGAGTTGCGGGCGCTGCGCTGGCTGCGGGGTTGCCGAGAGTTTCCAAACTCCGGGGCCGGCCGGGATGCGGCGCCGTCCCGTTATCCCGTGGTGCTGCTCGCCCTGCTGGGAGCCGTGCGCCGCTCGGTTCCCAGAGGTGCGCGCTGCCCCGGTACCGCCTGCTGGCGCGGCAGTGCCCGCACCGAGGGCAGCGCTCGGCTCGGGGCACAGGCAGCGGCTGGCTGGGGCAGCGCGGCCGGTCCCGCTGGGCACCCGCGCCGGGGAGCTCTGGCGGCAGAGGATAACGCATCTTGAAACTGCTTTACTCGCTTTTCATTAATCTAAGGATTGGGGAAGCATTAGGCACGGGCTGTGTGTGCTCAGCAGAGGGAAGCGTGCTGTGGTGGGTACAAACTTTGGGGACGAGCACCGCTGTTCTGGAGATTCTGGCATGAAGCATTCCTCTGTCAGTCCTTATTGCTCTCTCGTTTCAGCGTTAGCGTTATGCTAATTGTCCTTGGGAGAGCAGAAATTCTCCCAAAGTGATGTTATTTTCCAGCTAAAGTATCTGTGAGTTGATACAGTGCACAGCGCAGAGCCATTAATGTCAGGCATATAAATAATTGTGTCTTAATGCACAGCTTATGTTAATACGTCTTTCGTGACTATTTTTTGAACGACTGGATTATTGACCCTCTGTACAGAAATGCCAGACCTAACATGAACCGTAAAAGAGCAAATAGTTTTGTTTTAATAAATAAGGGCTTGAGGTTGAAAGTATTTTTACAATTCTATTGGTAGTGAAAAGACAGTAATTTTTGCAGTCTCAGGAATAATTATGCACAGTTGTGAATGGAGCGAATTGACTTGGCATGGAGGTTAGATGAACCTCCTGCGATCTCTAGATTATGATCATTATTGTTATTGTAGGCCAGTGGGAGCAAAACTGTGTCTTTCCTTTTTATCCTTTCATTTCTTTTGAGGGCTGGAGGGGGTGGGGAGTTGAGAATTTGAAGATTGTGCTTTGATGCATTTTCCGTACCAGGTCTCCAAAGTAATTTTCTTACTGAACTGTGTGGTAAAAGGCATTTGTGTTTGGAGATGGAAATTTGCAATTGAGAGTGAGAAAGAGGGGCTGGAGCTCGGCTTCATAGCTCAGCCACATTATTAGATACAGGTTAGCATTTTAGAGCTGCCTTGTAGAAATGTGCTTGCTTATTTCTTAAAAACAAAACTGAACTTTAACTTTTGGACCTAGTTCACATATCTGACTTTGCTTAGCGTCTTTTTTTCAAGGCAAAATGTACCCGGCTTGTTCGCACGCCATTACTTTAACTTTGTCATGTCTTTTCAGGGTAACCTGCTTTGGCTGGTTGAGGGACCTAATGAACTAATAGGTCTTTCATGGCTGTAGCTGCTTTGATCCTAGAAATTGTAAAGATTTTTATGAACTATAACCTGGAGAGACTGCTACATAGTGAAAACATTCTCTGCTTAACTTCATATATCCTCTGCTTAATCTGACCATTTGCCAAGCTGCAGAAGTCTGTTTAGAAGAGCTGTGGGGGAATGTGCACACATGTGACTGTTTGGGAATTAGTCAGTGTTTTATGGGCTGCTAGCTCACGCTGATTAGGAGGACTGCAGCTCGAGCCATTTGTGGCTTTGTCAGCTTTCCACTGTTGTTCAGGTGGGCTGGGTACTGATGGCACTCAGCTGTTAGTGTTTAGTGAAGTTTGATCTCTTCAGCCATCCTTTTGAAGAGGGCGGAAAGAATTCAAGAACTGGGTCTCTTTAAGCATCCTTTGAAGAATTGCAAGTATTGAAGTTCTAGCTCTTAGAACGAGAAGTACAACTCTTTCTCACAGTAAGTTCTTACCACATTTCTGGTCTCTTGCCACCTTCAATAAGCAGCAGTCCTCAAACTGCTGATTCGTTGGGCCTTCAGGCAGTCTGCTGGTCAGAAAACCCACTGGAGCCCTCATCAGCATTAAGCAGAAGAGACTGCCCTGGAATTAATCGAGTTGAAGAAAGCTTGAGAACTGTGGGCTGCTTTCTTGATGTGCAGCTGGAGCAGCTTGAGCAGCTTCTGTCACGTGGATTTGTTGTGAGGCAGTGTAGATAATACACCCGCCTTCTTCCTGTGATCTGAATAACTTCTGAAAGCTGACAGTGTTCTGACCCATTGTCACTGTTGGGATGAGGCTCCTTCTTGGCAGTTTCTGGTGGATTTAGAGCTGTAAAATGCAGCTAGGCATCGCTGCTCCATGGCATTGTTAGTGATGTGAACTTGAAATCCTAGGCTGGTGATTAAGGAGTAGGCTCTGCTTCCTGTTCTCCCATCCACAAAATGCAAGGGAAAATATTGCTGCTTGTTTAAAAAACAAACAGAAACGAAGTCAGTTAAGTGACCCGGCGGATTGAACTACTCCTAAAATACTTCTGTAGCTAGAGTGGCCATATGACTTCCTGCAGTTCATGCTGGCAAATTGTGTCTTTTCTGACCTTGTCTCTGTAATTAGGGCTGGAGGAAAGACTTGTGAGATCTCTGCACTTGCACTGGTAGCATGAGAAACTGTTAGCTAAAAGGTATTTTTTACTCTGTTGGCTGCAGTAGGTCCGGTTCGGGTGCACACCCTCACGGGTCTGGAAAATTTTGACCTTTCACTACTTTTCACCTCCTGTCGTCATTCCTCTTCTTCTGACTTTGCTTATTCTGTGTACATGTAGATAATGACCAGAACTGAAGACTTGGGTCTTTTAAGATCTGACTTGCCAATTGTATTCAAGGGTAGTGAATTGCTATTTAAATATAGGACTTTTTATGACAGCTTCTCTGTGAAGGATTGTTTTAGTGCTATTGATCATGATGCAGACTTCTATAAAGCTGTGAGTAGCCCTGTTGGCCCTGCTTGGAGTTAAAAGCTCTCATCTGCTGCTCCCTGTGGTTATTTGGAGAAAGAATGTTGACAATTTTCTCTTCATCTCCAACTAACACTCATAATCCTGTGCACAATGGCAGAAATACCATATTCAGTGTTTTACTCTTTGATGATTCCAACGAGGCCAGAGAGGGAAGAATCCTAAGAGACAGGCTCACATGAATTGTGAAATGAGTGGTTAAATAGGACATTAGTCAGGAACTGAAATGTGACATGGAAAGTTCAATGTATATAAGTAATTTACATGGCAGTAGAGAGTCAGACAAGAGGGAAAGATACAAAACCAAACATGCAGGATGAAGCTTGGCTGTTACTTTTCCAGGCACATTTTCCACTCCAAGTTTGCTAAATCCTGCAGACGTACTCCTGGGCTTTCTCTAGTCCTGGTTAACTACTCAGAAGTGAGTATTTCGTCCTTTTCCACAAAAGGTGAAAGAAAGTGGTTCTCTCTGGAGCTAGCTAGGGTGTCTTTGGAAGTCCTCCTTTCCCCTCTAAAGCATGAAGGCTTAAGGAGCAAAGAGTGGGATGGAATATAGATCTCTTTTCCCCTTGATTGTTTTATAAAGTATTTTTTTAGTGAGTGACTTTCTTCCCTCAGCTCCACAGTGCAATTGGATATAGTGATGTGATGGTGGGGAGGTGGAGAAGGCCAAGGAGAGGCAGGGATGATGGAAGCAGGAAAGACTTATCTGCTCTGTAGAGCTTTGCATTGTTGGTTGCCCCACACAATGTGTAAGAGCTGCTCAGCCCCTGGATTTAGCGAAACAAATACTGAAGCTGCTAAGCAAGGAGAAATGAGGAGAAATCTCTCTAAGCTGGGGATGTGACTGCAGCTCTACTGTAATACCACACAAGCCTGATGCTGCTGATTTCATTAAAAGCATCATTCAGGGCCTCAAAGCAGGTTTTAATACTTGCTATATGTTTTTTTAAATATGCTGACCTTATCTGGTAAGCCTGTAATATTTGTTACAATGAAGAACAGCTGCCGCATAAATACATATATAATATCAGTTGCCAATTCTGTAAGCTGTGCTGAGACTGTGACTTGTTTGAAGTGGGGTTGCTATTAAAAGGCAGGTGGCAAGATGTTTATTTTGCACCTTGTTAATTGCTTGTTTTTCCTGCTGTAATTGGCTTCCTAATGGGGGCAGAATGCACTTGGTTTTGCACACAAAGCTTCATTAGTGACAACTGATGGAACGATTCAGAGGGTGGGATTAAATGAAATATATATATATTGAGTAACAGATGTCTCTGCTAAATAGAGTTTATGAGGAAGTCCTGTAGATACATCCAAAAATGCAAATGTTTTCCCATAAAATGATTTAAGATGTTCT